TTATAAATTAGGATTGGTTTATTGTATTACTGAAGAGTAGGACCCAGGATTTGTTTATTGTATTATTGAAGAGTAGGAACCACGATTTACTGTATTGTTCAAGAGTGGAACCCAGGATTTATTAATGGTATTGTTCAAGGGTGGAACCCACCATTTGTTTATTGTATTGTTGAAGTAAAGAACCCAGGATCTGTTTCTTGTATTGTCGAAGTAAAGAACCCAGAATTTGTTTATTGTATTGTTGAAGTAAAGAGCCCAGAATTTCTTTATTGTATTGTTGAAGTAGAGAACCCAGGATTTACTGTATTGTTCAAGAGTGGAACCCAGAATTTCTTTATTGTATTGTTGAAGTTGAGAACCTAGGATTTACTGTACTGTTCAAGAGTGGAACTCAGCATTTGTTGATTGTATTATTGAAGTAAAGAACCCAGCATTTGTTGATTGTACAATTGAAGTAAAGAACCCAGCATTTGTTGATTGTATTATTGAAGTAAAGAACCCAGCATTTGTTGATTGTATTATTGAAGTAAAGAACTCAGCATTTGTTTATTGCATTGTTCAAAAATGAAACCCAGTATTTGTTTAATGTATTGTTGAAGCTTAGAACCCACTATTTGTTTAATGTATCGTTCATACATAGAATCCAGGATATGTTTATTGTATTGTTAGAACCCACGATTTTTTACTGTATCATTCGAGCGTAGAATAGTGAATTTGTTTATTTTATTATTAAAATCTGAAAGTCAGGATTTGTTTTTGTGGCATTTAAGTCTGGAAATCAAGATTTCCTATCAAATACAACCAAGATCAGTTGGATCAGATTTACTTACCATCACAAGACTACATAAGACAATTACCTTTGTTGTTGTTTGGCACAAAGAGCCCGATTTGTGACATTATAAGCCTCAGTCTTACCGCTTAGCCACCAGGGAGGCGAAATATTTACCACCATCTAACTGCATGAACCAAGTACCATCATGCAACTGCACAAGACTGTTAAGACAGCTCACAAATATTGTACATTTCTGCAACTTTTGGATAATTCCTATCAAGTGAAAACTAAAGAGTTTCGAGATATTTCAGCTCTACCTACGTCAATGAAAGAATATGTTAAGCCTACCTATGTAGATGATAAAATATATTAAGCCTATCTACGTCGATGATAGAATATAGTAAGCCTACCTACGTAGATGATAGAACATGTTAAGCCTACCTCGTAGATGATAGAACATGTTAAGCCTACTTACGTCGATGATAGAACATATTAAACCTAACTACATCGATGAATGAGCATGTTAAGCCTACCTATGTAGATGATAGAACATGTTAAGTCTATCTACGTCGATGATAGATCATGTTATTTAAGCCTACTTACGTAGACGATAGAACATCAGTGATGTTTGTTTGTATATAACAAGTAAACAAAATATTCCGTCTTCTATTTCAGAAACTAAAATTAGGTTATGTGTATATGTTGTTCGTAAATTCATTTGACTAGTTTCGTAACATAATGGGAATTCTTCAATTTCAAAATACAAATATGTTAAAAACTGAAAGCAAATAAATAAAGCAACATATTTAACATTCTTTTAAAATTAGATTAGACGTTTTATCAAAATAAACTTCAAAACTATTATTATTATAATAATAGTTCTAAAGATTTCCTGATTAGTTTCTTTTTTAAAATTATCCTAAAAAAGTGAAACTTATTTATTAATTTTTTGCAAGTTACAAAAATATGCTGTCATATCGGTAAATAAATATATATTCAAATGAAAATAACTAAATAAAGAAATTGATTTGTACAAACCTGAAGCTATTATTTTACATTAAAGACAGTTTTTATGTGTGCAGTAACTTTTTATTTTATCTTCAATGTTGCTTAGGGCAGAACAAGGAAAGATAGCTGACTTGATAAAATCACATGTCCCCGTCCTGAAACTGTACTCTTCTTACACGAGTTTTCTTTATACAGGGCAGAACAAGGAAAGATAGCTGACTTGATAAAATCACATGTCCCCGTCCTGAAACTGTACTCTTCTTACATGAGTGATTTCAAGAGTATGGTTGACATTTTAGAAGAAAGTAAAACGAAGTATCCTGTGTTCCAACATTTGGTGCGGGACTTTGAGGTAAGACTAATTTATGAGAGTTGAGTTGTTTGTTAATAACTGCAAAGCTACACAATGGACTAGTTGTGCTGTGCACACCATGGATATCGAAGCCCGATTTTTAGTGTCGTAAGCCTGTAGACTTACCGCTAGGCTACTGGCAGCCCATGTAAGATGAGACAAAAAAAACAAAAAACAGGTCTCTTTAATGTAAGTGTGATCTATGAACTTAAAATCAAACAGCTGAATATGATAGTAATTAAAAAACAGGAAATTTAATGAGTATTTTTAGATTGATAGAGAAATTCCCGCCTTTTTAAAACAAGTTTTACTAAAACATGTTTGTTTGAAAAAAATTAATTTATGAAGTTCTGGTGCACTTAAAACAAGCTTTCACCAAAACATGTTTATGGGTTTAAAACCCTAACATCTTGGGTTTGATTCCCCATGATGGACAGAGCGCAACTGGCCTATTGTGTAGCTTTGCGTAAAAATAAACACGGACTTACAATGCTAAGATTCGGGGTTTGATTCCCAGCGGTAGATACAGCAGAATACCCAACGCGGCTTTGCTTTAAAACAAACAAACATGGAAGGAGATTTAAATTAACATTAATTTATCTCAAATAGACCTTAGACATAGTAATTTCTATCCTGCAATCTGAGGGATTTCTGGCCGAGCATATGAAAAAAAGATTCCTGTAAGTGACTTAACTGACTTAAACATTCTTACAGTTAACACTCCGCATTGACAGTTACAACAATATCATACATAACTGAGTTAAACATTCTTACAGTTAATACTCCGTCTTCACTGTCAGAAATCGCCGAGTGTTAAGGCAATAGAAACTTTTTATAGACCTTGTTTTGTTTTTCACCCCATCTGGCATAGGGGACATAATGGCTACAGTCATCACCTCGCGTGTCAGTTGTGCATGAGAACTGGAAGAATGTAATACAGCCTAAAAACTCTATGAGGATACCAAACTTTCTCCTACCCTCAAGCATCTCTACACCATTGAGCTTGTCAATCGAACGATTGCTGCTAAAGGAACACCTTATACTGACGAAATAGTAATATTGATAAAGCCTTATGTGTTTGAGACATCACACACTCTTTACAGACAAAGCAATGACTGTGTGTTACAGAGCTCGTGCTCCGACAGAAAATTACCTTTCAGTGCATGAGACATGGAATGGAATGAATTGTGCAGCAAGACCAACCTCACAGGAACTCCCACTAGCTTATGGCTGGCACAGAACTAAAAAAAACAACAACCATTTATGGTAATGTCAGCACCCCACTTTGAACAGATGAAGACCAAAGCAATTAACCAATGTTCTCATGTTGATGTGTAAGAAAAACTGAAACTACAGCAGTCCCTATATAAGCTGTAATTACATGTGGAAATGAAGCCATCTTTAGCCTCGACCGAATACACAGTCATAAATACACCTAAAGATGGTGTAAGGAGCTCACAGAAGCCAAACTGTTGGAATATCAACGTAACCGGGCAATAGGTAGCATCCCTGAAATGTGGCTGATGTCTTTATCAAATGCTTATGCCAACTCTTGAAGGATCACTTTATTATAAAGAACATCGAATTATTGTCTTATCAAACATCATTGCAAATTTCCCAGGGAAAGTTGCCACTCCTGGTGGTAGAAACACTGAACTATCAGGCGTAACCTTACACAGACAACGCAACGTCCTCCAGCCACATTAATACCAAGATAACCAAAGCATCAATGTATTATCTCCAGCCACATTAATACCAAGATAACCAAAGCATCAATGTATTATCTCCAGCCACATTAATACCAAGATAACCAAAGCATCAATGTACTAACAGTTTCAGCAGGAAATAAAGCTGAAGAACTTTAACCTTCTTATGGTCTATCTAATCCTTATCTGTCTACTATACACTATTCAGTTCTAGTGATCACATCCAAAATGTAATGCTATTACGAAAATAATACAAACCTCATTTGATGGTTTAACATAAATATTTCCTGGTATTCCTATTCTTACTTTCTTGTCAGAAAAACAGAAATCCTAAACATTTTTTGTCGGATTTCTCTAATCAACACTTCATCTGTTATTATTATTTCTTAGATCCGGTGTTCAATTTCCCGCAGTGGACACAGCAAATAACCCAATGTAGATTTGCTGTAAAATAAACCATCCATTTTTTTACTTGTTAACAGTTTGGAGTCTGTCTTTAAATGTTGTGGGTTATATTTGTTTACTTGTTAACAGTTTGGAGTCTGTCTTTAAATGTTGTAGGTTTTATTTTTTTTACTTGTTAACAGTTTGGAGTCTGTTTTAAATGTTGTAAGTTTTATTTTTTTACTTTTTAACAGTTTGGAGTCTGTTTTAAATGTTGTAAGTTTTATTTTTTTACTTGTTAACAGTTTGGAGTCTGTTTTAAATGTTGTAGGTTTTATTTTTTTACTTGTTAACAATTTGGAGTCTGTTTTAAATGTTGTAGGTTCTATTTTATAAACCCATTGTTTATCTTGTAAATATTTCCAGGCACTTCCTCGGTGTAAGGGTTTGTCGTTAAACCACTTCATGTTAAGACCAATTCAAAGGATTCCACAGTACAGACTATTTCTTGAGCGATACCTGAAATATCTCCCTCAAGAAACCGCCGAGTTCCAGGATGCGAGTAAAGCTTTGGACATCATAACGCAGGTTAATGAACAATCCAATGAATGCTTGAGACGTGGGGTAAGTCTAACCTAAACTCGTGTGATTGGCTTCTTCAGGTTTTTTTAAATATACGGTTTAATACTGTGTTACTTGATATATTTAAATAATGACGTCTAGTCTTATAAACACCTCTAATATTCATGTTACGCCTCCAGTCGTTAGTTAATTTTCCGTAAATTCGTTCCGACTAAACTTTAGCGACACAAGTCCTTTCTTAAATAAAACTGGTTTATTCTTTCCAAATACAACTTTACGACACACTTAATTTCAACAGTCGCTCTATAACAAACGCTATAACTCACGTCTCACGTGGCCAACAATATTTTATCCGCATACATTCAATTACTCATTACCTTGTTGTCCCGTCACGTTGTGAACGTCTTATATATACAAGACTAACACATATCTAGTAAATGCTGGGCATTCTTGAAGGAACAGGATATTTCTAGAAAGAGGTGGCGTGATACTAGTCACGTGACCTCGCTGACGCAACATTCAGCTCTATTTAGTGTTTGAAACAATTTTGATTCTGGTTTAGATGTAATGTTAGAATATTTTGAGGGACGATGTATAATTTTCAGGCGCCATATTTTTGTTATTTGGCTGAATATATTATATTACTTAATTGATTTAAATAAAATCTGTAAATTAAAATAAATGATCTTAATAGTTTGAGAGAAAGGTGTAAAGTTTTGAGTAAAAATAGAAATAATTTTGATTTATGCCAATAACTCTGAAAAACTATTTTTTTAGGATAATTTTTCCAAGTTGCTTTCCATCCAAAATAGTATTTTTGGAAATTTTGAAATTGTCAAACCAGGAAGGGTAAGTTCTTATTAAAATTCTGTATTTAATTGGAAACATTGCATTATCGTTATTGAGAGATTATATTGTTGTAACGTTGTTCTTTTGTTGAGTTGGTTGTTTTAAATTATTTGGTGAAAAGTCCAGTCCAAGTTAGTTTATTTCTTCCATAACGCTTTTACAAACTGCCTTTATTTGTACAATATTGTAGCTTGTAAACCTAACTTTACAAATGACGTTTAATTAAATGGAAACACCATGCTAATTGTACTACAGCTAATGTAAAAATAAACTTAATTGTATAATTGCATGGCTCATCGATCAAGTAACTGAATATACGTGATAAGTTACAGTGATTAAAATAGTTTACTAAACTTACTGACTCACTGCTATCTTTTAATGGCAAATTTGTATTTATATCCGATGTTTTTCTTCTAGATATTCATTGAAGCTAATAGATTTTCGTGACATCACCTAAAATATTCTAAGTATTATAGTACTTACTTGATTTTAACATGTTGAGCCTTCTAGTTATCTATATTAAAACGTTGAAAATATTATTTAATTTCATCTCTTTCAAATGAATTGTAGTGTTTTAGTATACACAGTTTGCCCCTGAAGAAGAAAGCGGGTTTTTATTCATTTCTATCAAGACTTCTTGAACTTACGTGTTTTTCTAACATCATAAAGGAACTGAAAATTTACTCTAATAAATATTTATTTGTAATGCAGAAAAAAATTAGGATTTTGTGATGTCATTAAATTGCTTTTGAAATGCAACATTCACATTAGATAGAATGTATTGAACTTGTAAATATTCATTGTAATTTATGAAATATATATAAACTTCTTATTTCGTGGACAGTCCTGCTCCTGGCTTGATGTTTATTCTTCATTATTAACTATTTAAAGAGGGAAATGTCGTCATTTTTATCTAATGCGATTATTTTATGTTGGTTACTTAGATTTCTGTTTTGTTTTTTTCTATCCAATAAAATTCTAAACTTTGTTAAATAACTTTGCAAAGTATCTTTTAACAGACTTTCCAACATTTTTCCCACAACTAATGAATGACTAATGAGTCTATAATTATTGGAACAATTTTTGTCACCTCCCTTGAAAAAC